ATCCAAAGCTTTTGCTTCCTCACAGAATACCCTGGCTCCTGGCAGCACTCAGAGGTACTCCAGTTCCTGGCAGAGTCGAAGAGTCTGGGGCCAGCAGGACTCCAGTGAGCTCGTCAGAAACTCTGATCCAGGGGCTGAGCAAAAGGGTTGGAGCAGGAACTGAACTGAGTCCTGCTGGATGGACCCAACTAGGAAATTGCTTCTCCTGGCAACTTATACAAGGTCAGCCAGTACTTTATACAGGGACCAGCACTGGAAGCAAATGTCCCAGGATGGCAAGTCAGGAAAGGTCCTCTGAGAAGTTTTGGTTTGATGCTCAGGGATTTACTCAAGATATAGGTACCAAAAGTGATGGTTGGTGAGATGAAGGCAGGCAGCCCAATATGTCCTTGCCAGCACCAGCAGCTGGAAGGAGCCAGACAAGGGTCACACTGTGCTGCTATCCCTGCCGAATTCACTGTGCTCATGGCCAAGTCTGGTCTGCAGGGCCACAGGGTGGCAGCTGTTGGGCTGTGACATTGCTTATTCCATGCATCCTGTGGTGCTTTCCTGCATGGCCTAGGAAAGCAAGGGCTGGTCCTTCAGCAGCACTGAGAGCCGAGTGTTGCTGCAGATAAGCTTCCTAGGTCTCCACTGGGATAAAGGCAGCTCTCACGCAGAAGTTAAAGCTGTTGCTCATTTTGTCTTATCCCTTTCCCTGCCTGGGCATCACTGGCTCACAGACAATCTTTGCTTGGGCAGCAATGAAGTAGATGCAGTTTTCCAAGTTCCTTAGCACTGTTTGGAAGGCAGCTGGTAGAGAGAAGATGCTTTGTCTGCAAGCTGGTGCTCAGCCTAAGGGCCTGTGGTGGTGGGTGCTGGGGATATATGTGGAATATCTGTGGCCCTGAAGAATGCCAAGGTGCCCTGTATCCTCAAGGAAAGGCCCAAATCCAGGAGAGGGGCTGGCATTTGCAGCTGTGAGCACACTAGATCTAGCAAATGCAGTGAACCAGGCTGAGGAAAAAAAAGAAAAAAAAAACCACAATTCATCTCCAGAACACAAACAGCCTGGGGAGGTCAACGCAAACGCCACAGCCAAAATGCCAAGGATGTTTGACAGATGTAGTGTGGAAACCAAAATGTGCTACTGGAGAAAGCAGTGATGCACTGCTGAGAAGCAGACGGTTTCCAGTCAGCATCCTCAGCAATGAGTCTCTTCACGTCTTGACAGCTCCATGAGGGTTGTCACAGCACCTTTCCAATACTGCAAGTTTTAGTGTTATTCATTTAATATTATTCCACCATCAGCAGGGAAGAGACAATTGATGCGACCCCAGTGTGGAGATGGCCCCACACAGCAGCTGCTCCCCAAAATGTCCCATCCTACCTTGCTCCATCTTTTCACTCTAAAAGAACTGCTCCCAGGTTTGTGGTTTTGAGTCTCCTCCTCTAACTTGAAACTAAAGTTATTCCACTGAGGACTCTGAATGTGCACTGGTGAAAGATAGACCTTGGAGATTTTAATCCTCATAACTGATATCAGCATCTACCTCAACTTCACATAGCCAGCCAGAGAGAGACAAGCCTGCAAATAATGCCCCATGGATCTGCAGAGAAAGTGGAAGGCTGAGCACAATGCCTGAGGAGGAAAGCAGGGGCTCTGAAGAAGGGGACACTCTTCCTCTCCACCTCCTTCTCCCCCCAGCATGCATTCCCAAGCAAGGACATACCCTTGGGAGCTGCTGCACCAAGAGGTGAAAGTTTTAAAAGCTCCTTTTCCCACCTACCACTCTGCAGAAAAATGATGCCAGACAAATGCTCCTTGCAGGGTGCTTACCCAGCAATTCCTTTTCACATCCTTGTCCACACCAAGAGGGTTGGAACAGAGCAGGCAGAACCAGATGCTGGTAACAAGGTCCATCACTGGTCCCAGGCAAGACAGGTAGCCGCAGTTCATTGACCAGGGCCAACATCCACCCAGAGCATTCAGACAGGAGCAAAAGCAGATGGAGCCAGTGACAGGGCTAGATACAAGGCTGCAACACAAGATCAAAGTCCACCCTGAACGGAGAACCTGAAGCAGAGCTCAAGCCAATCTATAGCACCCTTCAAAGAGGTTCATCCAGGAAAAAGACTACCTACAGGGTAGATCCAAGGTTTGTCCAGGAAACAGGACCAGGGCTGAAAACAGACTTCCTCACAGCATAGCTCAGGAAGAGCCTAAGAGCCTTGGGCTGAGCTTAAATAGAGCCCATGGGCAGGGTGTGAGAGGAAACCCCAGGTGAAGTTGGTCAGGGCTGCCAATGCTGATTAGTTCCATCAAGGGCTAGAAGAAAAGTAACTCCAGGAAGGGACTCAGGTCCCTTCCCTGTGTATCAGTTCCCAGATGGATTCATTTAGGTGTTAAAAAAAAGGCAACAAAAACAAGCAAAAAAACAAAACCCATTTTGACTCCCCTTAGTTCTGCAACACTGAGGCAGCTGTGGGAGCAGGGGCAAATCCTGCTCATGCACGTTATGCAGCAGTGCTTGGGAAGGTGGAGCACGCTGGTTTTCATGAGCTGCAGCAGGATTTGCGTGCAGCATCTTCATGTGTATGAGCATGATGTGCCTGCAAGGACAGGAGTGGTGCTGGCACCTGTCCAGTCATGCACAGCTTGTCCCTTGGGCAAATGGTTTTTACATCAGAAGTCAAGCTTGAAGCCCCAAAGTCAGAGGCCTGAGTCACGATGCCTTGGATGCACTAGGGCTGTTACACTACAAATGCACTTATATTGGACTTAGGAATTAGCAGTTGTGTCCTTTTAAAAATTTTTCCCCATTCCCTTAAGTTTCCCTTAGTGACCCAGTGACCATCAGGAATGTAGGGAGGAACCCAGAAACTGCTCCCATGTCCGATGAGCCTCCGCTCACTGGGCACAGGCTGCACGCACTGCCAGGCCGTGGGGAACGCTGAGAATCGCTCTTTGTGCCCAGTTCTAACTGCTGGGCCCCGACAGCTCGTTAGCTGCTCCCCCCCTTCGCCTCCCTGTCCCCTGGCTGGCCACCAGCCCAGCCAGGCCGCTGGACAACGGGAACTGAAGGGCCTGTGTCGACCGTGGCAGATTATGCAACCCCTAATGAGTTTTGAGCGACAGCCTTGGCCATCGCAGTCGTTTCCAGGGATTCTCCCTGGATTCCAGACACCATTTTTGGGGATGTCACGTATGGGGAACTGTATTTTTTGGCGGGCAACTGTATGAACAGAGTGGGCTAGGAAGCCGGAAAAGTTACATCAGTTGTATCAGTTATCCAAGTTATCCATGGCTTTTGCATGGTCCTTCAAGCAGAAAGTGGAGCATAGCAAGTTTCCATGGAGCTCTCCACGCTGTTCCCCTGCAAATGCCGCGGAGATGGCTCCAGCTGGCAAGGGCGCTGACCCCCTGCCATGAGCAATGGTGTTGCTTCAGGACACGTGTGCAGGCCTGCTGGTCTCTGAGCACTATTAGGGGTTTGCCATGGCACGTAGGCTGGCATGGGTGGGAAGAGGAGTGCCTGGAAGGAGCATTGGTACCTGGCCAAAATGGACATCTGGGTACAGGTAGCGAAAGACTCCCCTGGAAACGGCCTCCCGAGCCCTCATCTCTGTATGCCTGCAGCTCTGGAAGGAGCTGGAGAAAGTTCGTGTTTACACAGGCACAACGAGCCCTCTGGAAGCTCTGCTGAGGAGTTAGGGACAGTTTTGTGCTGCTTGGTCGCCCTCGGCCTGGATTTGCATTTGAAAAGAGGAGGGCGCACTGTGGAGCACGACTGGATTTTGGGCAGCGCTGGGCAGTTTCAATAAAGAAACTGTTTTGCTCCACCATGGCCAGGCGAAAAAAATTGGTCTCTGCAGCTCGCTGCATCCTGCAGGAGCCAAGCTGCCGGCTCCGTGCTGGTGCCCGGCTGCCCTGGCATCCGTGCCCTAAGCCGGTTTTCCTTGACGGCCAGAGCGTAACAGGATTTTGTTAAAGCTGGGCTGGACAGGGGGAGCAGGGATTGCTGGGCAGGCAAAGCAGGGGGATTTAGCTGCCGTTTCGTAGCCAGGGCAATCCTATTGACAGGCCCGGTGTAACGGAGGAGGGAATTTGGGCCATATGCTGGAGGCGGCTAAGCTGCCCGGGGAGCCTTAATCACTGCTCTTAC